TTAATGACTTTGTTGTGTCGACATTGTTCCAGCAAAAACTTACATCGAAAAGTAATTCGTTAAAAAACTATTAACACTACTTTTCACTACTTATTCATTGATATTTTAAGTCATAAATTTAATTTTAAAATGCGATGATATTGCAGGCAAGTACTCACCACGCTCTCCCTCGAGAGAGAGACAGAAATAAATAATTTTGAGCGATTTACATTTTTACTTTATTGCGAATATTTGAGTTCAAATAATCAATTTCGCGAATGATACTTAAATAAATTTCGCTGAGTCTAGAAACAAGTCTAGTCTGTAGGAGAGTCTTTTGTTTGATCAATAAACTAGTTTATGGTAAAATCTACAGACCAAACTGAAAGAACTTTTAAAAACTAGTATTTTTTGCATTTCGTGCTCCTCGAAATTCCCAAAAGGTAAGAAAGTAAAAAAACAACCTTAATGTGAACTTTTAATGTGATGTTCATTTAATTATAGTGGGAACTTGTGTACTTTTATCCCCATCATATTAAGGTTTTTGTTTACACAAATTCCTGATACTACTTCTATAAACTAATATGTAATGTGTAAATCTAGTACTGTTCTTGACAGAGGTGTGTTTAAATTTACTAAAGTCATGAGTTTTTACAATAATTACAAAAAAAATTATTTAATTTATGAAGATAGTAACTAAGTAGTTTCAGCATATAACATTTAGTTGACATTTTATATTGTACTTTGCTACCCTAAAAACAATATAAATTTTGGATAACATATATAATTTCCCATTTCACAATGTTTTTTTTTTTCATCATCACAACCGAAGTAAATAAAGTTCGAATACAAATTTTGGAACTTATAACTTTCGTGGTTTTCATAAATTTTAAAATCAGAAAATTTTAAATATCATGACATTTAAAGCGTTGATGATAGAATTATTCCTTTTGCACCACTTTTACACATTTTTTACATCGTGTGTAGCGTCTACTAGCTAGCACATCTTTTCTCCAAATCTTATATGGATGTAAATGTTTCCTTTGTTAAATTACCCATTACCCGCCCATGTTTTGCCCCTACAATATCTGACTATTCATGGATAATTCGAGTATAATATAATAGTTTCCCAGATATAGGATTTTTGTATTTATCATATTCCTAGTCCGGCCATTTTATCCCATATTTCAATATTATTTTTGCTTAATTTGAGGATTCTCAATCCAGATATGCGAAATTCTATATTTAATACATAGGGGAGGTACTACGCTAGTCCGCCCATTCTTGTCTAAAATATTTGTATTGATGCAAAAGTGGCTCCGACAATGTTTTAGGACTCTAACTATTATATTTTTATATGGGAGGTGCCACACCCACCTCTAGATATGAATATTTTAGTATTACTTCATATGGTACGTGTCACGCCCACTTTTGCTTACAGCCCATTTTTGTGTTAAATATTTACATAGAAACTAATGTAACTTGTACAAAGTATGGAGCGTCTAGTTGTTACAGTTTTCCCAATATACCAATTTTGTCATAAACTTGCAATAGTAAATAATGTAGTATATGGGGGCGTGGCACCTCAACCACTTAAAATTTAAAAATAAAAAGTAGCCTATAGTTTCTTCCAGACATACAGAAAGACACTGTGAAAGTTTCTAGAAAATCGGTTTAGCCGTCTATAAATTTCAAACATACAAACATACAAACACACATTAATCTATATATATAACAAGTAAGAAAGTATAGTCGGGCGTGACCGACCATATGATACTCTACACCAGTTATGAATATTAAATGTGATTTTTTAATTTTCTAAAAGATTTTTTATATACGGGGCTAGGGGCAAATATGGACCAACTCGATAAAGTTTTGTGAATATATTTATATAATATTTATTTGTGCTGAATTTCATCGCGATATTTGTGTTTATAAGTTAATTTTGGACATAATTTTCTGAAGGGGACTTTGTATGGGAGCTAGTGTCAAGTCAGGACCGATTTTTATGAAATTTGGCAATGTCATCAAGGCTTGTATAAAACTTAGTTGTGCCGCTTTTTATCGATATATAGGTATATTTAACATAATTATGAGCTCAGAAGCCCTTTTCGGGGAGTTCTGTTGTATGGGAGCTAGGTGAAATAATGGACCGATTTTAACCTTGGGTCAAAAAAAGCGTGTGTGCCAAATTGCATCAAATTATCTTGAAAATTGCGACCTATACCTTACGCACAAGGTTTACATGGACAGCCAGCCAGACGGCCGGATGGACATAGCTAAGCCGATTGGTATACTTTAAGGTGGGTATAGGACGAATATTTTTGTAGGTTACAAACATCAGCACAAACCCAATATACCTTCCCCACTAAAGTGCTGTAGGGTATAAAAATGAATGTGTTTGTTTGTATGTTTGTATGTTTGAACGTTATAGACTACTAAACGGCTCAACCGATTTTACAGCGTATTCCTGTATGTCTGAAATAGGTGATATTTTGAAATTCCAAGTGGGCGAGGAGCCACGCCCATATTAAAAAAAATTTAATCCGTATATTTGAGATAATATAACGGTTAGAGTCCTCAAATTTTTTCGGAGCCACTTTAGTGTCAACATGATTATTTGGGACAAAAAGTATGAGGACTAGCATTAAGGGGCGTGGCACCAAAAATTCTCGGAAACTATTACAGTTAGAATCTTAAAATTTTGCACGAATAACTTTAACATCCATTTAAATATTTTGGGAAATAAATTGGAGGACTACCCATGAGGGGAGCGACACCTCCCATATTAATTAAATACAAAAATTGGTTTATCTGGGAAACTAATGGAACTAAATTCGTCAAATTTTGCACGAAGAATTTTAATATTCATCTGAACATTTTGGAGGAAAAAAGGCGGACTTTCATCTGGGAGGGCTTGAAGAACCCATATGAATTAAATAGAAAAATTCGTATATCTGAGAAACTATTAGAGCTAGAATCTTCAAATTTTACTTGAAGAATTTTGACATTCATCTGAACATTTAGAGTATAACGGGCGGACTTTCAATGTGGAACTTGGCACCACCCATATGAATTAAATATAAAATTTCGTTTATCTCGGAAATTAATAGAACTTGATTCTTAAAATTTTGCACAAATTACTTCAATATTAATCTGAACAATTTGGAGTTAAAAGTCCAAGACTTTCATCTGGGGAGCTTGAAGGCCCCACATGAATCAAATAGAAAAATTCGTATATCTGAGAAAATGTTAGAGCTATAATCTTCAAATTTTACATGAAGGAGTTTGACATTCATGTAAACAATTAGAGAATAATGGGCGGACTTTCAATGGGTGGCTTGCCACCACATATATGAATTAAACACAAAATTTCGTGTATATTTGAAAATCTTATATTATTAAAATTTTAATAGATAGAAAGAAATTGGTGATAGATAGAAACTGGCGAACTTGCAATAATTTGCTTGACATCTCTTATATGTGACATATTGTAAATCTTGAAAACTATTGTAGATAGAATCTTCCAAATCGTTAAGTGGTTTTTTTATTTAGGGTAGCAAAGCACACTGGGTATAGCTAGTTTATATATAAATTTTAAGTTTTTCATTTGGAAACCATTATATATTTTCTTCTGTAATTAATTAATATGTGCAAAAATAAAGAAAATCGGAAATATTTGTTTTCTTATATTTTTCATAATTTAAAGTTTATGATTCTTTATTGTGCAGTCGTTAAATACCAGCAACACAAAACTAAGTTTGTGTGTAAAACAGAATCATTATACTCTACACCACTAGTCGGGAGGATTAATGTAAATAAAAAACGAATCGTAAAACTTCTACTAACACAACAACTTACTTTTCTATGACTACTACATACCTTTTAGTATTCTAATTATGACTTAAAAATAATCATATACGTAAGTACTTATTTTTAAAAACAGTATTTATTTGTTAAACAATAAAATAACTAAGCAGTGGCGTTGAGAATGCGACAGCGGACTAACGAACACAAGTCCCAGAGGTTCATATCCTATGTTGGCAATATGTTTTGTGCGTAAAACTATATAATTCTTTAATTCCCTACCTGTAAGCATTTATTTAAGTATTTATTTGTAAGCGAGTGTGACAGAACATGGCTCTAAAATAAAATAATGCTAAAATAATGAGTTAAACTAAATTAGCTTTTTAACTCAAAACTTTTCAATGTACATTTTTGCTGTAGATAACTAACAGTATTTTCTAATGATCGTTCCATAGTTGGTCACAAGTCAATATTTGTTATATTTTCAAAAATTAGTTTGTATCAGTGTAGAGTATCATAGGATCGATCTAGACTAACTTCACTTTCTTACTTGGTTTTAAATTATCTATAAAAATAACTTCATGGAAACGGAAATATTAAAACTTAAAATAAGTTTAATTTTAAACATTTCGTAAAAATAACTTAAAAGTAAAAGTTTTTCATATTTATTTTTTAAGCATAAATACTTAGTTTGCCAAAAAAAATTAACTAAATATTATAAAACTTATAATCCTATATTAGTTTATGACAATAATAATGATGATGATCTAACTTTTTTATTATTCTATGTGATTTATATGATTCAATGCCAGTGTAATATTTCATTTATGATGAAATGAAAAGGAAAAAATATTATTAAAATGTAAATATTTCAGTAGTTTCTGACTTCAGTTCATGCAAAGCATAACGTGAAATGAAATATGTAAATTTCATGAATTTATCAAACTAAAAAGTGAAAAAGGTAAATTTAAGAATTTAACAACTCAACATTATATAATAAATAAATGATGGTAAGAAGTTGAAAAACTTGAAAGGGGATAATTTTTTAAGCTCCGTAATAGTTAATCCAAATAAAAGGATATTGACCTTTTTATTATATTCCAAAAATTAAACAAAATATTTACATGTATAATTGTATTATGTTTATATTAATTTTGTTTTTATAGAAGATAACAATATTAATATTTCATTTTTTATTATTTTTCTAATTTCAGATTAACGAGTTTCAAACTCAAAATAGTTCATACGTAATAGCCAAAAGGGGACATAAAAACGACAAAATACGCACAGGTAAATTTAATTAACAAGCTTCTTCTGGTATGTATGTACATACATATAAAACAATTAAAATTTAGGTTATATAAAACCGAAGAGAAAAACAAATCCATTTGTAAAAAGTTGATGAAAAAATATCTGCTTTTAAATGATTGTATTGTATAAAGAGAGTCAGCATTCCATTAAAAATTTTTGTTTTTCTAGTAAAAAAAAGAACAAAATTTTAAAACCTTAATAAATTTTGCTCTAAAGTAGAAAAACGAATATACATACACACTTTTGTACATACCTAGAGACTTACATAAATAAGTATGAATGTTAAAAATTTAATAGTTTTCCCTGCAAAATAATTGTTCTTCATTGTTAAATTTTAATTACCTAGATAATGTGATAATTTTTTGAGTCTATTGAGTCATGTTCGTCCGGAAGAAAAAGTTGGATCTAAATTTTTATGGTGCATTTGCTTCCCACTTGCAAATAGGTTTTTCAGTTTTTGCTAAATGTATGTTTTATTCTAAAGGAAGCATAACGTACACAGAATTGGCGTTTAAAAATTATATAAAATAAAAAATTCAAATATTAATATATTACGGATCTCTCATTGAACCACATCGAAATAAAATTTATTTATAAGCATTATTTGATAATAACTTAGAGTGCTATATTCGAATCTGAAATACCTTAAACTGGTTTCATAAATTAACAAATTTTATGGATTAATTAAAATTAACATTAACATTTTACACTTACTTTCATTACGCCTTACAATATGCAATTAAAAACAAAACTACCACTTGACCGACTGTTACAGAGCGTACTAAATTTAACAACTTAGGTTAACAAGTTCAGTGTTAAAATAATTTCTATATGTGAGACAGAGGTATGGTAATATGATCAGTTATAAAACCTATATAATTTTGTACGGGAGGTACAATAGACTTTCAACGTTGTTGATCCTATGAAAAAAAAAATAAACAAAATTTGCTTTTAAATTTTAATTTTTACACAAACAGGAAAGAAAATTTCTATGTGAACATCTTCACGAAGCTAGTTAATAGTGTAGTGGGTACAGCGTTAACCAGCAACTAGGAGATTTTATGTTCGAGCCCCGTTCGTTTTGGACAGTTTTTATTTAATTTTTTGCGAAAAATAATCAATTTTTTAATCCCTATGGGTGGTACAAGAAATTGTGGACTGATTTCGATTTTCAACACATAGGATCCCCAAACTATATGTCTGACAAAATTCAACAATAAATATTTGTGCCAAATTGTGGATATTATTATTTGCTAATTAGTAATATGCGTTTACGTGATTCTCGAAAGGGGACTTTGTATGGGAGCTATGACCAATTATGGACCGATCGTAAACAAATTTTGCAGTATCATTTCTGTATATAAAAGCAATATTTGTGCCAAAGTTTACAGTATTCTTTCTGTATATAAAAGCAATGTTTGTGCTAAATTTTGTATCGATACCTTTATTTGGTAATGAGAAATATGTGTTTAAATGATTTTGAGTAGGAAACCTTGTATGGGAGCTGTGACCTATTGTGGACCGATCGTGAAAACAGTTTTTGGTAAGATTACTGTAGCAATATTTGTGCCAAAGTTTGTATGGATATCGTTATTTGGTAATGAGTTATGTGCGTTTAAGTGATTTTCGGAAGGGAACCTTATATGGGAGCTACGACCAATTATGGACCGATTCAGAAAATTGTTTCTTTATATGAATTCTATTGGCATAAAATTTAAATTTGCAAAATTTTGTAAAGATATCGGCATTAATACGGAAGTATATGAAATTGTGAACCGATTTTTAACAATGTTGATCCTGGCACCAAGACAAAATTCATAGAATTATCTGCAGTAGTTTTTGTAAAAAATACAAATAAATATGTGAAACAGCTCAATTTTTATCGTGGTTGTCTCATATTTTAACTCATAACTCTGAACTTATTTTACCGATTTTCACTACCAAACTGCTTAGGATAACAGTGAATATTTTGGGTGAATTTCATAAAGTTCCGTTGCTTCGTTTTAACGTGAGCGTGTTTTATACAGACAGACGGACAGATCTAAATCGACTCAGAATTTCATAAGGACCAAGAATATATATACTTTGTTGGGTCTCAGATGAATATTTCTCGGTGTTACAAACGGAATGGCAAACTTATATATACCCTCTATCACCACTGATGGTGGTGGAGGGTATAAAAATTACAGACATTTATAGTATATAGTCCGATATTTTAAATAACAGTCTAAAACAAGATTAACCCCTTAATGCACTTGAGATCAATATAACCCCTAAGTTCAAAAAACAGAAAAGAACTATTAATAATTTGAATAATGCTCTATATAATTTGAGGAATAAACTGAGCATGACTTAGTTTTACAACCCAAAAAACAGTTCTTGAGGGAGGAAAACAACCTAATTTATTGTAGCACTCTAATAAATTTATGTACTTCGAACTCATATATCTACATCACGATTTTGATCAGTAATGATTAATGACTTTAAAGCTATTTCAAAAGCTGTTTTACCATTATGGACTTTTTTTAATCGAAGAAAATAGATGTAATGCTCAACAAAGAAAATTATTTTTATATTTGATTTCCCATGTAGTTTATATTGCTGGATATTTGATATTGTGATCAGATGTATTAACAAATAGCATCACTACGATCGGAAAAGCTATGACATTACTAAACGTGCTAAAGTGCTTTGCTGGATATATTTTATGTGTACATATCTCTTATAATATCCGAGTTATAGGATTTTAATATTTAAATTTAAAAATATTGCCATACCTTGCTCCACTGTTTTTTAATAACGGTACAAATATTTACAAAATTATTTATAGTTTCTTTTAGGTCATTTTGTGGACTAATTTATACTGAGATCAGAATTTAAAAAATTGTGAAAAAAACGCATTATTTAAAACTAAACTACATAAATTCTCGGGACAGTTTAATGTACACTAACACGTATTCTATGATTAATGGTTTTAAGTTACAAAAAACTGTGATAACAATCAACCCTGAGTACTAAACACAAGTATGTATAGACTTTTCATTAATTATACCATCACTGATTACTATTGATTTTCTGAAGGGAAAAAATGAAAATCATATTTTAAAATAAATTTTTCATTAAACTGACTCAATTGTTATTTTAAGGCAATTCACTTTAATTTAATTAAAGCTCCAAAAATTTACAAATCATCTATCATTACAAAAATTTTTGCCAAAATTAATACTCTCTCGCACTTATTCGTCGCCTTTTAAAAAATATAATATCCCTGAATTTTTTTAACAACAATGTGACGAATAATATCCGTTTAATTAAAGTGCATAATTTCTACATTAATCTTTTGCAGAGCATTAAACTTCTAAACTGTTTGTATGGTACGAAAAAATACCAAATGCCAAGAAGAGTAATTAATAACAAAATTTCTATGTTAATTTTCTATTTTTTATTACTCTTGCGAAATTTCCATAAGTTAAACGTTTTAGTAAAAAATTTACTATAAAGTTTTTGTATAAAAACGTGATGTAACCACAATGACAACCAAAACAGATTTCTCTTTACATGCTTCAAATCGTTTTATTTGAAATTTGACAAGAAAAAGAATTAGCTAGATAAGTTAATACATAACTTAACTAAAAATTTAAAACCAATGTTCACTGTTTTTTTTTTTATATATTTTAACAACATTTTGTTCTACATCACAGGAATTCATTGTATTTAGCGAATATTCAGTTCTGAAGTTTAATTTAATAATTTTTCCTGATTCAAATTATGTTTTCGAAAAAACTTTCTATTTTCACAGCCTTTTGAAAAACAATCGTGTCTGCCTCCCTTCATATGTTTGTATGTAAAATTAATCTTTTAAACTTTCAGGGATGATATATAATCGATAAACGAAAACAAACTTTGATAATGTGACAAAATCGATTACTCGGTTTTCGGTATTGTCAGATGTGCCGCTATGGCGATAAAAAAATTCAAAATTAACGGTTTATATAACAGTTATTTATTTTGAATTTTTCGTGATATTCGACCGACGAATTTTTAACCCTGAAATCAAAGTATACTTTTCTGAAGGATTGAGCTGTGCTTGGTTAGGTTAGGTTGATAGGAGGATGTATACTACATCAAATTCGAAGATATACACCTAGGCCATGAAGAAAAGAGAACTGAAATGAATTATTTTTCAGTGTTCAGAAACTCAGTTCCCGTAATTTCTAAGAATCTTCCAATCAGTGTTAGTCAGGAATGTAATTTCCGGAATAACATCACATCCAAGATACTTGGATCTATCTTCGACGAATGCCTGGCAGTGGCAAATAAAGTGCTCCAGAGTTTCACTGTCCTCTCCACATGCTCTACATTCGTCTGAATCCGCACGTACAATTTTGCATAGATGTGCTTGTAATCCTGTGTGTCCACTCAGAATACGTACCATCATACTAACTTCAGAGTTGCTCATTTTGAGGAGATTTTTAGTCTTGCTCTCATCAGGGTCACCCCATATTTTTAGTTCAGCTTTTGTTGTGTCGAATGGTTTTGCGTTTGTCAAGTTAACTGCCTCGAGATCCCTTCTCTTTAAAGCTATTACATTCGCCCTTTCGTTACCGACTACTTCCAAGTGGGCTGGTACCCATATGATGTGAACCTTACCTCTGGGAGAGTATTCAGTTAAAGCTTTCTTACAATCCAATACGGTCTTAGATTTAGTTCTATCACCTGATATCGCCCTAATTGCCTTCTGGCTGTCGGTAAATATATGAAGCGCTGTGGGCGCCATATTTATTCTAATCCAATTTACGCATTCCGTTATTGCTCGTACATTTTGCCTGGAAGTTTATGTTATGTTTTGTAAACGGTGGTATATTTCTATTTCTGGGTCTTCAATATAGAACCCCAGCCCCACTTTGTCCCCCAATTTAGAGTCATCCGTGTAATAACAGATTCATACTGGTATTAGCTCTAATGTTCCGCTTGACTAA